AAGCACTATACGAGCAAACACAAAGTTGGATTAAACATATACTTCAAGAACTAGACAACCAAAACCAAAACAAGTTCGATTACAGGATTTGGCCAATAGACAAAATAATTACAGCACTCGACGATACAAACGGTATTAAGAATTTATACAATACAAACTAACAACACAACCTACACAACATCAGATTCCAAACATCAGCAAAAAATATAAGCCGATATATATCGATCAATATCTATGCAGATATATATCGATAATAATCCCCTCTGTTGGGTTCTATCGATTGTGATAGTAATCGATATATATCAGGTTAATATTCAATCGATAATTATCGATTATGCTAATTATCGATATATAACTTTAATAAAAATTATTTTTAAACTTATGTAAATATAATATAAGTTTATTGATCAATAAATACAATTAAAAATCTATTATACATTCATAATATAATAAATACATCGTACAACAAATATGTCATAACGCGTATCATACAACGATTATAATGACTATACTGTATTTAGTATATTAATTACAATGCTATGACCTCATCACAAAGCCGTGCCGTAACGGTTATATCATGCGCTCTAACGCTAACTATATAAAACTAGAAAAACGAAACTAACAAAACTAAATTAAAAAAATAAATGATATAACTCAAGCCTCAGTCGACAATTCAGATTTCCGGTGCCAATTCGAAGTATAACCTAAAGATAAAAAAAAAGTCAATTCCAATTAAAAAAACAAAACAAAACCGAAAAAAAATTGAAAATTAGAGCACTTATCTTTTCAACGGCTTAAGTTTTCAGATTCATTCCTAGCACAATTTCACTTTTCTCAATGAACCAAGAACCTACGGAAAAAAAAATATTACTAAAAAATGCGAAAAAAAACAAAATACAAAAACGGAACACTTATCTTTAAAGTCACCGGTTCCAGTTTCCCAATCTCCATTCCCGGCGTCATTTCGCTTTCCCGACGAAGACAAACCTACAAGAAATAAAGAATTAGTAAAAAGAAATGGTGAAGGAAAAAAAAAAAAAAAAAAAAAACAAGAAAGAAGCAAGAACTTAACTTATAGCAAGACCACTGGTTCCAGTTCCCTAATTTTCATTCTAGAGCCATTTCGTTTTCCCAGTAAAGACAAACCTACAAGAAAAAAGAATTAGTAAAGAGAACTAGAACGAACAAGAAATAAGAAAGAAGAACTTATCTAATGGCAAGACCACCGGTTCCATTCCTAGCGGCATTTCGTTTCCCAGCGAAGACAAATCTACAAGAAAAAAGAATTAGTAAAGAGAACTAGCGAAAGAAAAAAAAAACCAACGAACAAGAAAGAAGAAACAAAACTTATCTAATGGCAAGACCACCGGTTCCAGTTTCCTGATCTCTATTCCTAGTGGCATTTCGTTTTCCAGTGAAGACAAACCTACAAGAAAAAAGAATTAGTAAAGAGAACTAGCGAAAGGAAAAAAAAAAACCAACGAACAAGAAAGAAAAAACAAAACTTATCTAATGGCAAGACCACCGGTTCCAGTTTCCTGATCTCCATTCCTAGCGGCATTTCGTTTCCCAGTGAAGACAAACCTACAAGAAAAAAGAATTAGTAAAGAAAACTAGCGAAAGAAAAAAAAAAAACCAACAAACAAGAAAGAAGAAACAAAACTTATCTAATAGCAAGACCACCGGTTCCAGTTTCCTAATCTCCATTCCTAGTGCCATTTTGTTTCCCAGCAAAGACAAACCTACAAAAAAGAAAAAAGAATTAGTAAAGAAAACCAGTAAAAGAAAAAAAAAATACTAACAAACAAGTAAGAAGCAAGAACTTAACCTATAGCAAGACCAACAGTTCCAGTTTCCTGATCTCAATTCCTAACGCCATTTCGTTTCCCAGCGAAGACAAACCTACAAGAAAAAAGAATTAGTAAAGAGAACCAGCGAAAGAAAAAAAAAACTGACAAACAAGAAAGAAGAAACAAAACTTATCTAATAGCAAGACCACCGGTTCCAGTTTCCTGATCTCCATTCCTAGTGCTATTTTGTTTCTCAGCGAAGACAAACTTACAAGAAAAAAAAAAGAATTAGTAAAGAGAACTAGCGAAAGGAAAAAAAAAAATACCAACGAACAAGTAAGAAGCAAGAACTTAACCTATAGCAAGACCACTGGTTCCAGTTTCCTGATCTCAATTTCTAATGCCATTTCATTTCCCAGCGAAGACAAACCTACAAGAAAAAAGAATTAGTAAAGAGAACCAGCGAAAGAAAAAAAAAAAACTAACGAACAAGAAAGAAGAAACAAGAACTTATCTAGTGGCAAAACTACCGGTTCCAGTTTTCTGATCATTTCCAGCGTGAAGTACAAATCTACAAGATAAAGAAAGTATTAGTGAAATAAAAAAAAAAAACCTATTGAAAAACAAACTGGTACGTTTATTATATACCAGCACAGCCCAAGATCTTCGTTCCAGGTGTCATTCCACATTTCCCAGCGAAGTACAACCCTACAAGAAGAAAGTGTTAGTGAAATAAGAAAAAAAAATTAACCCATTTAAAAAAAAAAGAAATTAGTACGTTCATTATATACCAGCACAGCACAAGATCTTCATTTCAGGTGCCATTTCACGTTTACCAGCGAAATACAAACCTACTTGAAGAAAGTGTTAGTGAAATAAGATAAGCCATTGAAAAAAGAATAAAACTAATACTTTCATTATATACCAGCACAGCTCAGGTTCTCCGTTTCAGATGCCATTTCACGTTTCCCGGCGAAGTACAAACCTACAAGAAAAAGAAGCATTAGTGAAAATAAGAAAAAAAAAAAAGAAACAAGAAAAATAAAAACAGGAACTTATCTTAAATTAAAGCAACCGGTCCTAATTCCAGATTTCCATTTCCGGTGAAGCACAAAACTACAAGAAAAAAATATTGGTCAAAAAAAGAAGCTAGACAAAGAAACTAGTTGAAAGAAAAAAAAAAATAAAAGAAACTAGAGGAAAAAAAAAAAAAACAGAAGCTAGATGTAAGAAACTAGACAAAAAAAAAAATAAAATAAGATCGAGATATACCAAAAGAATTTAAATCAGTTTATATATTTAACAAATATTAACGAAAGTTTAAATAAAAGGGTAAGCAAGATCTATATTGATTATCATAGATTAAAAACTTTAAAGTTCAAAAGCAAAATTGACATATGCACGTACGTACTCTCATGCATAAAGTCTAAAAAACAAAAAGTGATGTATAACAATTAATAGCTATTAATCGCTATATATAGATTTAAATAAACTCGATGTTATTTGATAAATAGATTTGTATCGATTTATATCTATTATTCGATAAAAATCGTTTATAGATTTATATCAATTTATAATGGTTTATCGATATATAGCATTATATTCTAATCGATACAAAACGATTAATTGTTATATATCGATGATTATCTATTCAAAAACTTTCCCGATGAAGGCTATACTTCTTAAATTCAAATATCTAGATCCTGCATTCTTTACATCTTTCACCCAAAATAGACAAACCACACCTGCATACCAAAAAGAATTTACTAACTTACTAAAAGCAGCTATTACTAAATACAAAGACAAAAACGAATTCCCTCTAACAAACAGAGAAACTAGAGATATAATCTAACACAAACTGAAACAAAAATTAATGATAGAATATCTTACAAACCTTAACTTTAGACAACTCCCACCAAGCAAGGCATACCAAATAATCAAATATAGCCGAAACTTTATCCGTGCAAAACCTATCACAGACTACAAACAAATCCAAACAGCAGTTAATCAAGCATATAGTATTCAACGACAACAACTACCTAAAACTCCTGAGGAAATAGATAGCTAAACCAAAAACATATTACCCTTCGAATTACCAATTAAGCAAAGATCTCAAACAAAAGCAATTGTTAACTCTCTCAGA